GAAAGGAGAATGGACAAGCTTGTTGCAGAAGCCGCAGTACGATGCCACAACTTACAGTGCCCAGAGGCCTAGGTTCAAGTGCATTGAAAACCACGGACTGTTCAAACCCCTTCTTAATAAACAGGGGGTGTCCCATGCTCTGGTTCCAGATAACTTGTCGGGGGAATACCCTAACCCACACAAGAGGAATATCTCAGAGAGGAATGCCCGCTGAAACGAGATACGCCTGGCATTCGGCGCTTTAAGTGTTGAGAGGCTGGGCAACCAACGCACTCTTTCACGAGCGGAAAACGCCTCCTGCACGTCGGTTCCAGCTTTCTCTGCGGACTTGCGCATCTTATCCACCTGGCTTGAAACCAAACAACACGTTCGAATCAGTCCTCCAGAAACAACCCTGTAAGTTGCAGGGTTTGAACTTGTTCCTCACTTAATTTAGGGTACCGGATACCCTTTTTACTCTTGTTTACAAGGAACATCAAGTGAAACCCAGACAAACCTAAATCCGCCCGCTGGGAAAGATCATCCAAACAGGGCCCAACTACTGGACCTAATTATGACACCCCCCACCCCCCGCAGGCAAAACAAAGATTGTCCTGTCTTCGCACAAGTGTCCGGTCAACCTTTCCTTGTTGAGTTCTGGACCCCACACTGTTAGCCGGAGCAAAACCCTGGTTGCTCGATTCGGCTCGAGTGACCCTTGCTGTTCCTAAAACGCCAAGGCTGAAAGCCGTCAGCTGCATTGAAGATGACGAGAGTGAAAAGCTGGGAGCTGCAGAAGTGACCTTGCCAGTCTACATGTGTGGTCAGTTGCTAGTTCTCAGCAGGGAATGAGTGAATGATCCCTATAAAGCTTCCCCTACGGTTTCCTTTAAGAAAATCCCCTTTCTGGTTCCCTGAGTCATTCCCTACTGAGCACCAGCAAGTTTGACGATGACCGCAAGTGGGTGCTTTTATTGAGGCTTCGTACCCTTTCGGGGGTTCCTCGAAAGGACGACCAAAGGAAGAATCTCTGGTTTCAGTTACGCCTAAGTCAGCCAGCCGGCAAAAGGCAATTGTTTTGGAACGGTAGGCTGCACTGCATGGTGAGAACCTGGATGGTACCCGCAACAAGTTCAACGTCTTGCTCGCCGCATGCCAAGACATGCTGGCAGAATGTCCCGGCCATGGACCAACAAAGAAATGAGGGCATCCCTGGGATTCCTCAACCATTGTTTGTTGTGGTCTAGACCATACAATGCTACAAAGGCCATAAAAAGTAGGGTTCCTCGACCGTAAACATGAAGAGCTAGGAAATCTTGGCCCACCTGCAACCGGGGCGGTCATGTTGCTGGTGGGGAAAAACCATCCTTCCCCAGCAGGCTAAATGGCAGCCAACCTGATACCTATAGCCCGGGACTCCCAAACATGAAAAACAGATCCCCAAGTAAAGGACCATGCTGAGATCGTTTCGCCCCCCCCCAGCCCCACCCCCCAACCCCCCTTTTAAGGATCGGTGAGCTCGACCCGAAGACTCGGTTTTCTCCCCCCGCCCTTCGATGTTTGGCGCCTCGCTTTGCACCAGATCCTTCTCTTTCCGGAGCTTGTCCGCTGCAGCCTTATACTCACCTGGCGGAACAGCATTCCGATGCTCAGCTTGCACTGAGTTCAGCCCAGCCCCCCGGTTGGAAGCACTGACTTGAGAAGGAGTGGTGGAAAAGCTACTTGCTAAAGGGATAATATGAAAACGACGAGTACCCGTCCCTTGTTAAGGGACAAACCAAAGGCCCCTGCATAAGAGCTTTGAATGAACCTTCTGATCAAACTAGTTCTGAGGATTCTAATTATTGACCTTTCTGGGGGGTACGGTGGTCTGAATGTCTCTCCGGACCTTTCCTTTTCAAATCATCAATCATTGTGTGCCATTCCCAAATTTGAATCGACTAACTACGGGTTCTGAAGTACAAAGCCTTGGTTTTGGAACCAACACCCCGTTCTGAAGGCTGTATGGCCGAAAAACCAGTTTTCGAGACGTCGTAGGTGTTTGAAGTTTCGATGTATAAAGAAGAACGATACACTTGCTTATGGTCTAAAAGCAACTAACCCAAAAACTCATTTCATAAGAGATGCGAGACAAGCCCTCTTGACAGACCAGCAAGGACAACCCAACAGAAAACTCAGACAAAGAAAAAGGACCAACAAGAGCAACAAGGACACCGAAGCCGAACGCCACTCCTCACACGCCACATGGGAAGCCAAGGCGAGTCCAAAGCAGGCCGTGGCGGGCTCTGGCTCTTCTCTGCATCTTGGACCACCTGACCAGGGGCCAAAGTGCGGAGGGGGAACCTGGGACAAAAAACAATCCAGAAATGGCTCAGGCACCGCGCGGAAAAATGATTATGAAAAAAATCAGCACCCCGAACATGCACCGGGATGGTCCTTTCACCGCATCCTGCTTGGGGAAACTTTTTCCGACCTCCATACATGCTCCCTGGGTCAACCTACCCATGCGCTAAAGGGTTTCCCCGCAAAAAAAGGCAACTCCGCGAAACTGGGCTCATACCTTTCATACATTTGAGCATGTGTCAAAAAGAAAACATGATGGTTTTCCTTTGGACCTCCCTTTACATCACCCCGAAAAGGGTGCCCTCAAAAACAAGCGCACACAGAGATGTTTATACATTTCAGATGAGGTGGTCTACAAAGGACCGCCCTGCCGTCCCACAAAGAGCTGCTGTTGACAGCAGCCCCAGGCTCTTGCTGGTTTAGTCTTTGAACAATTGAAACTCCACATGTCTCCTTCAAGCATGCAGCTCCTTTGCTCGAAAACTCTGCCATCCAACCATAATACTTGCAAATAAGAGCCTGCTTGCCCCCGAGCTATTTTGCCGCGCGCCAAGCAAGGCTGCACTGCTTTTGCACGCCGACGTCTTCATCTCTCTTGCGCCTGGTCCCAGTCACAAATGAGCGAGCACAGCTCGATGGGCCCTGATAGCTTAGAAGGGGTTCTTATTGGGGTTCCCCAGAACCTTTCTAAAGGCAACGGGGCCTGAATGTTTCTCCATGAAGTCAAACCCTGCGCCCGAAGCCATGCTTCACATCCCATGCCGATGTCTGAGTTCAGAATAAAAAACCGTTTGCGAGAAATGCCCCACCCCATGCTGGGCTTTTCTTGCCAGGACGCCTGTCGTCAGCTTGGCACATCCCTTACGGATCTCAGCTCGACTCGCCCAAGCAGCAGTCAGCAAGAAAAAAAAACACGCACGCCGATTCGTGCGAGTGGCCGGTCTCAGACCTGGAGTCGACCCTGGAAATCCGGCAAGATGTGCAGCCACTGCAACTGACATGGCTGTGGGTGAAAAATAGGTACCCAAAATGGGACCCTGGCAAATGGAAAAGTAGACTAAAACCTGCGGTCCCCAGGTGACTTAACTTTGACCCATACACACATGGCTCACTCTGCGCCATGCAGTGCTGGCAAAAAGCTGAACACATGTAATTCCGACATAGGCGCTTGTCTGCAAGTTCGGTGAATGGAGGTCAGCACAAACTCACCTGCGCGCCCACATGAATCTAAACACATTATCTAGATGTCTTACCAGATGACACTTAAGAAACCTCAAGACAAGAGCCTCTATCCTGGGCCTGAGCTCGCTGGAATATTTGCAGGCTATTGAGCCTCCGACGAAAACAAACGGGTTGGCGGCCAGACACCCACTAGAAAAAAAAGCGAAGACGCAACACTTAGATCCTACAAACTCACTTGGGCCAAACGTGGCAAGCAAAGGGCACCCCTGATTTTGCTGGTCGTCTCAAAAAGGCGACCCATGCCCCCCCAAAAACAGGACAACTAGCGCACCACTGGGCTAGACTTTCTTGCCGGCATTCCCGGCCGCTCCAGGCTCGCCATGCGAAAGCTAGGGAATCTATTCATCGGAGAGCAATTCCCGGACGCAAAGACACACGAAGACTCTGGGGAAATTACTGTAGTTCCCAAACCGGAAAAGGCCACTCATGGGCAAATCGCTCGCTTAACCCCCGAATCGGTAAGCTCCTTGCTCAGATCGATTGCTATGTGAGCTCGTTTTACCCCCAGGTGACCCAGGTGAGATTAAAACAGGCAGGTCTATGCGTTGCGAGTCAGCCAAATTTTGATACCCTACCCAGCTTTGGAATCATATGGACAGGCCCCCCCCCCATATAACCCCCCGAGAACCAACAGCAATATAATTGAATCTGATCCATATTTGGTAAGCCTTAGAATGCCTGAGCCTTTTGGGTGACCGGAGAGGCTTATGGGTCACAATACTGGCATTTCAAGGGCCCAATATCCATAAGGCTACCTGCATCAGGGTTGCTTCTTGTCAAAAAAATCCCGGGTAGAGAATCACAGGGGCGCCTCCGTCTCTGTCTGGTCACTCTTCCCATTCTTCCGAGGATTTGGTTTTGGCGCACGCGAGTCTATGGTTGACTTGGTTGCGGCATAGTGAGGCTGCCCAATATCCTCTTTCCAAACAAACGACCACACTACCCGAAGAAACATCTTAATCGCATTCTTTGCTTGAAACTAGAGTCCTCAAAAATAGTTAAGTTAAAGTTGCTGCTGTTGCCAACGAATGGACTTGGCAACGATCCGCTGTAGCCTTTGATGCTGCTTGCGGAAGCTTTCTGGGCTGGTTCTACCATCTAGAAAGGTTTATGAAGAGTGACCACAAAACTCACTTCCTGAGTGGACTGGCCAAAAAGAGTCAGAACTTGTTGATTTACCTATAAAATCTTCCAGCAACAAAAAGTGACTCATGTCCAGGAGCTCCGGGAGAGAAAAAACGGGGTTGGGCTAGACCAGATCCAAAAGGAAACACGTCTAGAAGGTCCCTTTGTTTGGAGGGCTCAAAAAGGCAAAACACCTTGGTCAAAACGAGGTGCTGATGGGACGAAATCCAGTTCGCACATCATCTATGGATTGAAACCCCGTCTGAATAGGACAAACCACCTACCAACCGGTGAAATGGATTTTGTCTATTGCCAGCTCAAAAAAAGGGTCGAACACCTGGCGCGTCAGTGCGGGAAGCTTTCCGGCGCATCACTGCTCGCAGAAGGTTTGGATCCTGGCAGCTGTGCAGAGCAGAAGCTCCCCGTTACCACGTGCTGCCCAATGTGTTTGTTCTGAGTTCTTACACCTGGGAGAGAGGCGAATTGCACAATTCCCTTCATGTGGGTAAGGGGACTGACTAAACCCAAGGATTTGTGCCATACACTTTTACCCAAATGTACCCCGCCTCGGTGTTTGTGCGGTTGAAATCCCGATTGATATTCCGGTCACTGCCAAAGTTACAACATCCGTGTAGTTGGCCGCCCAACTTGTTCGCCTTGCATGGCTTGAGATGGCTCACAATCCGGACTAGATCACGTTCATAACGACAATATCAACTCCCAAGGATCCAAGACCCTTTGAGGATGGCTCTTGGGGGGTTCAAAGGGGGCAAAACTTTCAAAGTACAGCCGGGCGTGTCTTTTTAGAGGACCCTCAAGATGGTTGTGTTCCTTCTGGTTTCCCTTTAAACCAACCAAATAAGGGGTACCCTCAACAAAGACACACTCACATCAGGGCGAGTTGAATCGCTGGTGACGTCTTTGTATCTACTAAAAGAGGACACGGCAGAAACTATTGCGTACAAATGCATAGTGTTCACACGTGTGTACGTTTACAAACTCGTGAATTAGACTAAGATACCCAGAACTAAGGCACCAAGATGGGTTGAACCGGCAGTGCAACACTTAAGCTGCCTCCGATCGGAGAGCTCGCCCGGCTACGTTCAAATTCCAATGTAGGTTCTGACTACAGTAAGACAACATGAACGTGCTCTTGCTGCCGGGAAAACACATCGAAAAGCACACACATTCGCACCACAGAGGACAAACCACAACAGCTGCAGCAGTAGCAGCAGCGTCTCACAGAACCAAAGCTTCCCTTCACTCTCCGAAAGCCAGGTTGCTCACGATATGGGCAACAATCATCGCAAGCAACTGTTTGCCATGTTCTCCCACCCTTGAGCCCGTGCTTAGCTTCCAAGGTCAGTCTTGGGGGGCATCCCTGAAAAAAGAAAACACCGATGCAACCCGTTGAGCCCGCACAACACCAGGAAGTAGGGTCAGCGCTGCTCAATCTGTGCTCTTCAACATGCGGCTTGGCGAATCCAAATCCTTCAAGTGGAGGAGCGCGAAGTAGAACAAAAAAATAAAATGGCCCAAAAGCAGCCCAGTTGATAGTTGCACAACACAAAAATGCGGTCAACGTTGGATGGGGTCCCAGCGGCCCATCCTCCTAGACCAGTCAAGTGTCCCATTTCAGCGTGGCCTTTAGAAGGAAATACAAAAAGGGCGGGGTCCCAAATTGGGACCCTGACTGTCTTAAGCACCGAAGTCTGAATGGGTCCTCCTCTTCCATGGCTATGTGCTTCTAGAGGGTACCTGTTTGGGGGTGGCTTGGGAAACCGAAAGGCAAACCGAAATCCATGGAGTTTTTTTACGAACCATATTATCTAAATACTTAGCCTGTACAAATGATGATGAAACCAGAACCAAAAAAATGCAGAGGAGTTCCATTCTTTTGGTCCCATCGACCCCCTCTTCCTTCCAGAGCACAAAACAGCCCAAACCCTAAAACCGACTAAAGCAACCCTTAGCCACTCTGTAAACCGACACTAAACCCACCCTACACCCACCCTACACCCACCCAAAACCCAGCCTGAACCACCCTAAACCCCCAATTCTTGAGCACTCCCGAGCCGAGAGCGAGCCGCCCGCCTACTGGGGGAGGCCGGGGGATCCATGCGGAAGACCCTCGACAGGCCGAGCTCCTCCCGCGCGTAGCCTGACCAGTGAATCGGCGGTTTGCTTGTCGCTTGGACAATTCGGACACGGGTTTGTTGTCTTTTTTGGGGCGTCTTGGTTTGCTTTGAAAAACCATCTAAAATATGTTGAGTTTGGGGGAGGGACTCCTCTTGGTTGGCTTTAAAGAAAATCCAAAGGAAATCAACCATGTTGCGGGTCCTTTCAGGGCTGCTTACAAAGTCCTCTGAACCCACCAGTTAGCATTGGTGGGTTCTCACAATTTGTAGGGTTCCCATCCATCCCAAGTGGTGCGAAGTGGATTTTGTCCACCAGTGGGAATGAATCTGCTGGGAAAGGATGGCTCGGCGGCAATCTCCCTGAGACGCAGTAAATGGACTTCCCTTTGGGCTTTCCTTGAGAACAACCCTAGAATCTGGAAACGGTACGCCCAAAAGAGCGCAAACAACTATTGCTTGAATCTTTGGCCCGGCAAGAAAGCTCGACCGATGTGGGAAAAGTGGGATTCGTCCCGTCTCATCATGCCGATTACTTAGTGGCTTGAAGACCCAAGCCAAAGACCTGAGGCCGGCTTTCTTGAACTGAAACTGTGAAATTATTTAAACCTACGTCTTGTAGGCAAAGTACAATGCGCAAACTGCGAACAAAAGGGAAGAATCGTATTTACAAGTGCTTCCAAGCCTAGACATGTCCAAAACGTGAGGTTGTCCACCTGCACTACCAACGTGCCCCTGCTTTGCCGGGGTTTTCTTGGGCCATAGAAACTGGTCCTACCCACTGTTCCGCAACCTGTCTATGGTTTTCAGGGGACAGTCAATAGCTGCAATGCTTTTGGGCGAAGTAAAGAAATGAGAAGCTTTCGGACTTTCCAACACCACGCTGATAACAGTGGAGAAGTTGTTGCAAATGCCTTAGAGTAACATGACGGATCCTGAGTTCCTTCCTGCCATGAGCCGATCGTGAGTCGGAGCCGCAAGGAAGCCCTTCGGAGCGAGGCGAGTAAATCGTGTCCATCCCTCGACTGGGAATCCCAGCGGGATCTCAACTTGGGCTGCGAATTCGCGGGACAATCGCAATGCGAAGATCCAAACGAAACTCATCTCAAAAGCCGTGGGGTTCAACCCCCACTAAAAGAATGGTTGATCCAACTTAGATGACAATCCTTACGTAAACCATGGTGCTGATATTAACCCCCATTGTTTTAATGCTGGGTGGATTGAACCCCAGGGAAAATACACAAACAACTCACACACACACACACACGAATCAGGAATCCCCATTCAAGGAACCTTCTTGGTAAAGTGTCAACGTGTTTATCTTCGCGAGCCCAGGTTGCGTTTCCGCAAACGGGCTAGGGAAAAGGTAGGCTGCCTTTGGTGTGCTCAATGTTAACAAAAACCCAAGCAAATCGGGTTTGACAATTTTCAACCAGGATTTATAGAACCCTGATTGATGGGGTGTGTCAGAGGAGTCCCCCCACCCGCGAGGAACCTCCCGCCCCAAAATAAATCCCACCGGTTGAGTAACCTGCTGTCAACATGAACCAATGCGGTTTCTTAGTTGCCCAATGGCTATCGCAACAAGTGCTGCAGCGCTTGTTTCCGTTTCGGAAGCTTTGGAAAGAAGAAGTGCCCCTGAACCACTAAGGACTCGCTCACACCTTCTCGATGGCTTCCAATTGCCTAAGCCACCTGGGGAAAACAAAAGTAGTACTAGGTTCCCTTTGAAACCAACAAGGAATTTGTTGTTTTAAAGAAAAACACCTGAAAAACAAGAACCAGTGACAGATTCCTTTTATCCTAACCAGTGTTAGATTCTTATGCAAACGGAAGATGGCTGCTGCAGCTCGAGACTTGATTGCCCCGGATTTTCCCTGCTCAGACCAAGCGGCCAATGGCATCTTTCACCTCAGTTGCGCAGTTCGGACCTGGAACCCAAAAGTGATCAGATCACCTGGGGCCACGACCCTAAGTATGGGCCAAAAATGACAACACAAAACGTCAAACCACTAAGGTTGATTGACTAAACATGGGCCAAACATAAACCAAAAACAAAGGTCACACAACTAAAGTTGATGATTCGGGTTTTCGGATTTGTGAAAATTCCATCGTACCGCAGCCACTATTTTCACATTCTGGCGCATCGTTCCCTATCATATCCATATCCCATCACAGCCCATATCATACCCTCCAACCAACATGGAAGTGCACAAGACCGTTTCCCAACATAACATCTTCCAAAAGGGGCCTGTGCACTTTTATGTTTGGGGCTGATCACCTTTAATATATCCCATTGTGATCTCCAATCTCTTCGCTGGCTGCAGAGCCTTGATAACCCGCAGGTCGGCTGGTTAAACACTAATAAACATGAAAAGCACTGGTTACAGCTTGCCTCTAACTCACTTCCTGAGTGAAAGGCCCCCAAAAAGGCTAAACTGGTGTTCGACACTAAAATTGTCTTTCAAACAGTGACTAAAGTCCAGTAACCTCAAAAGTGAGCTATTCGTTTACTCGCGACGTCAGCAATGATCAGTTAGCCGACCCCACCCATGGCTACAGTTAGCACGTATTGAGAGATTTCTCAGGAAATGGGTGGGGCACAACTGGATGATTCTTACACGATGAACCACTTGTGTTTAAACAACCTCCTTGCGGTTTCCCTTTGAATCGGTCCAATGGGTCCCTTTCAACATGTTCATATCCAACCCTGCTTACCAATGAATTTCTAAGCAGAACAACCTCCAGGTTCCAAGAATCTTCCATCCCGAATGAGTGAACAGGTAGTATCGAATACAACCGATCTGAAGTATCCATTTGGCTTCCTCACGGGCCTTCAACCCACTGTGGATGGACGAATCCATTTCGCACCACCTAAGAAGCCCTGGTTTCGGATGATTCCCCTGTAAATACCAACAAAGAATGGTTCCCAAGTGGTGCGAAATGGATTTCGTTCATCCACAGTATCACCTGGAACCCCAAGGCACCCTTTCGCCATCCTGTTCCGCCGTTAGGCAGCAAATAAGCCACAGTCAAACATTCCCTTTCCCCAAGTCATGGTAGATTTAGTGAATCTCCCGCGTGTCCCAACAAAAAGGACCACAGACCAGCGACTTTGACGCCTCGGGGCCCTTCTTGGCAAACTAAATAGTGGTCCACTGGCCACGAGATGTGTCCAATGCTGGACTGTCGCCATGCGACAAAAACAAAGAGGTTTAGATTGTGGTCCACAATTGATGAACCTCAAAACAACCTCAGCTTCTGCCCCGAACCAACCATGTATTTGTTGAGCCTTAAACATGTAATCCACAAATTGACAAAGAAGTGACAGAAACTATGAGACAATGTCGAGATAGATCCCGGAAAGGAGCTACACAATTTGTTTCAAGACTTGGTCCATATTCAGAAAGCCACAACAAATGAGAAAGCATCGAAAGAGGGACCAGACACAAACCCCCAAGCTTTTCCGAGTGGCCGCGTAGAAGAAAGCGCCACCCAGCAACTGGGCCTCAGCGATTCGTTGCTTTAACCACGGAAATGAGAAAATACCGAGTCAGCAGTCAAACGCTGAGGAAAACTACTACAAATGCTACAATTCACAATCAGGAAATATGGTGAAACAAGGAACTCTGAGCAAAGGACCATCATGGGTGACCTCGTTCCCCCCCCCCCCCAGCCCCAGCCCCAGTTAAGCTTGACATCAAGTGTTTCAGAGTCGATGCCAATGAGTCAGCAGCGTCCAGTCACCAATGTGCTGCAGGTTGATAATCTAACAGGGGACTCCCCCAACAAAAGAAAGTACAAGGGGAGGAACCAGCCCAGCATGTGCTCCTCAAGTGACTCATCGAGGTGGAATTCTAATGTTTCACCCGCTGAGTTCTGCAGAGCTGCTCGCAAGTACCGCCCCATAGCTGTAGCATAACTGCTTCTGGCAAAGCACAAGTTGCTGTTCCACCCAAAAATATCTAAATGACACTTTGAAACGATGCAATGCCCCCAAAGGCGCGGCTCGCAGCTTGAAATAGCCAATCCAAGAAAGCTCTAATAAGCCAATCGCAGTGAATGATGCATAGGCATGAGCTAGAAAAGCGCACATGGCACGGTGTGATAGGTCAAGCTTTGACTACGATCGGTCTTTGCGTGTCACCCTAAGGGTCCTGATAGAATTTGGGGCCTCCAAATATGTCTTTTTGACAGTTCTAAAGCAACTTGGGGTGTGGTACGGGGACTCGTAGGTTCTGTGTATCAAGCCCCAAGACCCTTGGGGTAATACTCAATGTGGCACGAGAAGCAGCATGGTGGAAGTGCCTAGTATGTCAATCCCGTGATTCGAGCAGGAAGCCAGCCGAATGATTTCGCCTGTCTTTCTCTCAAAAGTGAGGGATCTTCAAACAGGGACACCCCCTATTAATCAACCAGGTGTTTGTTGATCCTGGGTGCCCATCAATATCGACTCTGATAAATTACCCGACTGATTGTCAACGGCCTCCTTTGTGTTGAGGTGTTATACCACTGGACCACGGGTGATCTACAGGACCAAAATAACGGGGGGCTATATTCGTCAGCAGATAAGGGCTGTAGTCAAGGGGACGATTCAACCAACATGGGGGGGAATTGTGCCATTGAGCCCTGATATCAGGGCCGTCTATTCTCAAGAGACCCCCCCCCAAAGGGGCGACAAGGAGGAAAATCAACCCATGGGATTCAGCCTACCTTGTCCAATGGATCCGAATCCCGTGCGCTCCGATCCGCCGATCCGCCGCTCCGAGCGCCGGACGGGCTCGCCGGAGGCTTTGGAGCCCATGACCGGAGCATCCGGCTTCAAGCAGGGCAGAAGCTCCACGTCCAGTCGCACCTCGCGCGACTAGCCGTGAGCACCCGAATGATGGGATCGGTTTTGGGTCTACCTTCACCCGAGCCCTGATTTCCGACCCCAAAACAGGTATACACTTATTCTTATTGCTCTTAATCAAGGTAAAATCATGGCAACCCAACGAGGCGAACAAATAAAAAGGTAAAGTCTGGCAATTCAACAAAAAGGTTAAATAGGCCTCATTATACTCCCCATTAACCTTAAACAGTTGGATCCCCCTCTGCCTGTCAGTCACCCATTCAGAAGGGGGAGGGAAATGTAAAGGGAGACCACAAAGAACTAAGAAACTGACTTGGTTGCATCAGGGACCGAATGTTTCAGCGAATTGACTTGGGGAAGACATCAGGGACACTTTCAGTTAGAACAGGTCCTCTGAGCATTGGCATACACCCTTGACATCAAAAAATGTGGATAGCACATGCGATGATGAATACATCATCTCCATAGCAGCCATGAACATGATTAGGATCAGGTGGTGGAATGCTAGCAGAAAACTTGCCACCAACTACGCCTGTGGCCATGAAACCAGCCCAACAAAGAAAGATGTGTTTGATAACACACATGTGGGTATTTTTGCTTTCCTTCAACACCGGAGGCTTGCCGCCGCACCCGTTTTTCTCAGGCACGTATTGTCAGTGCCTGATCCTCAAAGGCTTGAGATGCAGGAAAATCGCCTAGATAGGATTCTCATGGACAACAAGCTTCACTTCCCTAAAGATTCTCGCACGTAGCCCCGAATGCCTTCCTACCTCGTGTGGGCTGAGGTGTATTTTTTTTGCATAGCCCTGGCATTAGCCTGGCACAGCCTGGCCTGCATGAAAGGAGACACTAACAGACAAAGGTTTGGGGTGGGTTTAGGGTCCGTTTAGGGTAGGCTAAGGCCCGGCATCGTTTTAACATCCTCAGCATCACCGGGCTTTGGTTGGCTGGGTTTAGGGTGGGTTCCAGGTTGGCTCAGGCTTGGCTCCGGATGGGTTCCAGGCCTATTGAGAGCAAATTTGGGGGTGGCTGCGCTTGAGGTGGATGGTTTGGTGCTGGTTTATGGTGGGGCTTCTTGGGGTTGGTCTCGGATGGGTTTAGGGCTGGTTTAGGGTGGGTTCAAAATTGGCTTCGGTTTTTAAAACACCCTTTCCCCTCATGTGCGAATGAACACAAAAAACACAAATCCCAAGCCTGGCATCAGCTTCCACCATCCGCAACTTGTCAAAAGTCGTGGCCCCACCTCCATGTCGGTACGGTATGGGTCAAAATTAAACCAGGGGACCGCAGGTTTTGGTCTTCCTTCCCTCTACCAGGGTTCCATTCTGAGTACCAATTGTTTGACCCACATGTTGTCAAACGTATCCCCTTGCATGAAGCCGTAATGTTCAGAGATTCCGTTTTTGGAGCCCTTTGAAAGCTGGCACAGGTCAGCCGTCCGGTTCCAGTGCCACCAGGGGCAGCGGGTGGACGAAATCCACGTCGCAGCACTTGGGACAAATCAAGCCCTCTAGGTCCTCCAGTAGAGAGGAAAGAGTAATGAATGGTACCAGATGTGTTTTTCGGTAGTCGATTTTAGTAGGGAACCCTCCCCCCAAAAAAGGGTAATAGGGCACTACTGGCGGACCTAGCCCTATATAATGAGATGCACTACCTACTAACTGACATCACCTCCCCTGACACACGAAACCCCAAAACCCCAAAACCTGAGCGCCGCGCAGGAATGTCATTGCCACTGGGGATCTTGTAGTCCTCAGCTGCCATGTCGCTAGTGGAAATCTGGCTGGACGGCTCCATGCCAAAAAAAAACGCTTCTCGATGCTTGTCACATCTACTTCACAAAGGTTTGTTTGTAGCAAGTCAGCAAGTCGTGCTCGCTTCAACCATCAATTGTCTTCAAAATGTCCACTTTACGCTTCACACGAGGGCAACTAGGAATCCCTAAAGTGACAAAACATCCCTGGCGAGCCGAGTCCGAAAGAACGGGCGAGGACCTGCCGAAGCCCCTGTATTGAACAATGATCAAACCATGATTACCACGGGAAGCGCGTTGGTCCATAACTTAAGCAAATCTTCAGGGTTGCTCAGGTTGCTCACAAAAAAGCTCCTGAAGGAACACACACACACATCAGCATGCAGAAATGTCACGTGAAATTTCCTTTAAAAAAAGACACCAATCAACAGAGCCCCAAGAAACTTCCACATGGCCATCTAAGGCCCAAAGAATAGGATTTGGCTGGCCTGTTTCTTGGGATAAACGGCTGCCGACAAAACAGATTCCACTTTCCCATCCCCCGCCATTTGACCACGAGAAGGTGCCAGAAGGGTGAAGGCAACCCCAACGACGGGGTTCATTCAAGTGACATCCTCAAAATGAGGCCTCTAGATTCCAACTTTTCTAAATTGCCGTCTAAAGGTAAAGGGAAGCCACCTCGAAAAGTACTAGATAGAATGATAATTAGGTTGGAATGACAATGACCCAGAGTTAGCCACCATTCCCTCATTCCTTCGTGGCTTTCATGCCTCTTCAACCGCTTGCCCCTAAAAGCCCCGCTGCATCCAAGGTGCCCAGGTGCCGCAATTGATGAGGCGCCCGTCCTTGCCCCTCGTCTCCTCCTCCAAGAGGGAGAAGCCCAGCGCTTGCATGAGGCTGCCCTGTTCGAACGCGGCCGTCTCAAAACGTCCTTCTTGGTCATCCGTTTTTTTTTTTTTTTTTTTTTAATAAATAAAAATAATAGTAATTAGTAATAATAATAAGCAGTTCCGCTTATTGTTCAGTAGCCCCAAGTAAAAGTTGTTTCTGCTCGAAAAATGGATGCATGGTTTCTTGGGCATTGTTCACTGATCCTCTTAAGGGAAGGAGGGGGCACGTCTGGTGGGTTCAACCCCACCTCAAGGTTCCAAGCCGCCAGCCTCGATCTGCCCGATGTCCACGGCAGGGTTCAGGCTCTTCCCGCAGTCCTCGTCTACCCGGATCGGTCGCATCCGGAAGCCACACGGAGGCGACCGAAAAATCTGACTTCCGATCGAGCGGATGACCCAAAGAAACGCAAACTTGTGGTTTGCCGCTGAAAAATGGTCCAGCCCCGAAAGGTATAAAGTCCAGGAAGACAGGAAGTGAGATCGGAGTCTGAAAAGCCATGTCTCCTTTGAGGATTCCAAACACACTGGCTGATAGCCAAGCAACACGTCTAAGACTGCGTTTGCAAATGTTTGCAACTAGTTGGATTAATGGGACACTGGGAATATTGCCGGGTTACTTCCAGAATCTGGCTCCCAGTCTCAGTGCACCGGGAAGATGGATATCATGACGACTCGCCAGAGACATTGACATGTTGAGACCACCTTTGCATCCGATTGCTCAGAGCAAACAAGCCGAACACGGTGCCCCAAGCATCACATTCATAAGACAACCCCTTCACAGAGCTGGCAAATACAGTGCTCAACAAGGCCAACATGAACGAACTCTGCCAGCTCTCAGCTTGTGCCCTACAAACTATGTTTACTCTGGCCCTTCCTTCCTCAAACAGAAGGCATCCGTCGGAGGTACCTGGAAGATCAAGCTCCTCAAGGGGCGATTTCTCTGTCATGTGCCGAGGTGGGAGGGAGGGTAGATTCTGAACCATTTTGTAAGCATAACAAATACTACATGCGAATTCTAAAACAACTCCATCAATCCCCAAGTATGCGACCATCATGGTGAGCTCGTTTTAAGAGATCGCTACAAACAAAACAAAGAGATTCCGAGAGGCACTGTCCCCCCAGCCAATAGCCCGGGGCGCGTATACCAGGTCGAATGAGTTCACCTGAGTCTCCCCCGTGAGCACGTCAATCTCCACCTGACCAAAAGCAAAGTGGTCGATGACTTCTGTGAAGCCCGGTGAATTCCCGTGGGACAACATCGACGCCTGCCCGGATGACTGGAGTTTAAAGGGCAACCCGTCCCAAGAACAATATACGTAAAAGGCATGTACACCAGGCGAAATCGACCCAGAGTTTACCCTTTGACCCTGTGACCCACGAGTCAGAAGGCGACCCGAGAGTTACCTCCAAAAATCCAAGCGATTTGTTGCAATCCTTTCTCATTCAACATGTGAATGAAAGGGCGGGCGGGTCCGCCTGCGGCATCGAACAGTCCCATCTATCATGGTTTGCGAAGGGAAGATTTCCTTGAGGCCAGCAGTGTGGAAAGCTACCTGGGAAAAACGTAGCCCCGGGCAGAATTCCTGGTGCTATTGTAGAACCAGCAATTCTCTTACCCCTTTTATTTCCGATATGACATAACCTTCCATTCTAGGGTGTGATCCATTGGCAACTCATTGGGTATCGGAAACAGGGGGGAGGACCCCAGTGATGGATCGAGCCTGTGCACAGCCAGCGCTGAAGAGCATGTAGTCATGCCTAGGGCGCAGCTCTATTTTCCTTTGGGCTTTGGAAGGGTCGTTCCTTTGGTTACCTAGTATAGAGGCAAACGGATCCACTGGGCTACTTCAAAAACATCATGATGTACCGTGGAAGGGAGGGTGCGGCCGGACCACGAATCCTGGCTGTTTCGACACACAAATGCTCATGCCTGTTCCGCCACCCCCCAAAACCACCGCAAAGGGTCAATGGGAGTCCCGGATTGACTCGGGGAGAAACTCTGGAGTCTCGGGAAAACGGAGCCTCGAGATGACCGGCAACATAGATGCACCGAGCCACTTCCAAAAGGAGTCCGCACTTGTTGTTTACCAGTAGTCTTCCCAAAAAGTACAACGAGTCAAGGAACCTGAGAAGTCTACCAATACTAAATCTAATGGAAGCTCACCTCAAGATACTATTCTACATACCCCCATCGTTGGGGAAAGGAACCTCCCGTTTACCAATCAACATTGGACATTAATCTCCCGGCTGGTTTGCAGGTTCTCTGACTGCATGCCCAGTGTCACCTTGGCCTTCTCGGTGACGCCGGCCTGATGAGAGCGAAACCACAGAAGGCGTGCTACGTCAAAGTGAAACCCAAAGAACCGAAGGCCTGAGGCATCTCCTTCTGCGTCTGCCTGGGTTTCCACGTTAACTTGCGAGAGGTATTGAGGGAAACATGAGCTCAACGTTGAGCACCACAAAAATGGGCGGTTTCCCCTGGGTTGTCTTTTTGAAGCAACCTCCAAAACGGTACTGTCAGACAAAAACAAGCAACAAGCACAAACCATCGACACGCCCACTTGTGTCCCCCAAAGACACCGCTGGTTTTGGAGCTTAACTTGTCTTGGCCCACAACAAGAGGGGTACTCCGAAAATATATGTTGTCCAGCCGTTATAGTAGGTAACCAAAGGAAACCATCATGTAAAACCAGACAAGAACATGCGCTGGCTACTTACTCTGGGCTGTCCAAACTGATCCCCTGCTAAAAGCTTACATAACTTGCTGGTTAAATTGAAGCCCATCCACTCAACCAACGAAAAAAGCTGAAAAGCTAAGGAACCGGATGGCTGGGCGCCAGCTCTAGTGGCTTGCCTGGAAGCACACTGAAATGATTTTTGGCGGCCAAAACACTGGGGATCGGCCGATTTTCTGGCCTGGGTCAGCTCGGCGCCGGCCTTGGTTGCCAGCATCACCACCTCGAGAGGAAATCGTGACCGGCCGAAATTAGAACCGGGCGGGGCACTGAACACCCCACTGGTTTTTGCCAGAGTTCCAGGGAGACCTCTTCGTTCCGGGGATCCTTCTTTCTAGACAACCTCCGGAAACCCAGTGAAAAACAGCTGCATTTGGAAAGAACGCTGGTTGAAAAGAATGGGGAGTCACGCCCTAGAATAGTAGAATCATATGCTACTTGACGACATGATGTTTACTGATTTCAAATGACATTCCGAGGAATGTCGAAGGGCAACCCTTCCCAAAAAAGCCGAGGAAACTAAGGATTATCATCCTGTAGTAAGCTCATTTCACCCGCAGCTCGCTGCAATTTGCCAAATTGAAATCCCAACCCACTGTTGCGCGGTGATATCTTTGGGGTGACACTTGGTGGGAATCCACCGAACAAGGAGCAAAACGTGGTGAAGCGAGAACCCCTATGTGTATACTGGGACATGGCACCTAAGGATTGTTGCTAGTCAGGCGTCGTTTGAGGGCGGGTGTGCTGTTGGAACGGGTTGGTTTCAGTTTGGTTCCTTTGCATATCCCAATTTGGTCCAAACGAGCAGTTCACGGCAAGAAACTTATTCTGACCCAGATGGGTGCTGTTTCCTTGTTTTGCCAATTTTGAAGAAGTAATGGGAGGCAAATAACAGACAAACTGACAAGAGGTTCCCTATAGGTCCCCACTATAAAACATCACGCCGAAAGACAGCTCACGTGAAACTGGACCCAAAGGTGATGTTCAAAACCCAAAGAGGCAACACAACAAATGGAAACCATCAGGTTAATCACGGAATGTGCAAAAACAAGGATCCGCTGTACTCAAACAGCCCCAAACAAATCAACCTGGGGACAAATCCTGAGCCTACATCAATGAGATTTGGGAACCCAACAAGTGCGGGTTTGCCTCAAAGTGGGAACTCCGTTGAGTCCTAAGAGCAATCTCGCACGATCTCGCACGTAGAGAAATCAACTCAAAAGGCGGCCGCACACATATTAGACCTGCTTATCCACATTTATCCGCATACTCTCCTTCAACGGGTTTTGAGTGTGGCTCCCTTTTAGACGGATTTGAAGCAGAGGTGACACCAAACGACTGCAGCGGTCCCAAGCTGGTAAAAAGGAAAAAAACAACTCCCGTGCATTTTCATGAGAACAACATGCCAACTGATGTGATAGATCTTGAAACATTGTCCCAGAACAAATCACGTAAAAAACACCGATGCTCAACCAACCTGTTTGGGGGAATGTGTGTGGGTCAAAAAATGGTACCCAAACTGGCTTGACATGGTAGCCGGAAACAAGGACTAAACCCTGCGCTACATATCCCGGTGCGTAATTGTTGTTTTTGCCCAGATGAAATCGTCATTAAACAGAGGTCACTGGATTTCCCATGTCAAGTTCATAAGTCTCTGGGAGAAATCTCATTTCTGCGGCTGCCTTGGCGCTGGTAACTTCTGTTTTTTGGAGCAATATGAAAATAGCCAAATCTGGGAAAACATTATTTCGTTGGAACCCCTGAAAGGACGTCTTCCCGCGCCTCCTGCCAGCCGCGCCCCGCGGCGACCCACGGCTGCATCTCCTGCGATTGCGAGGCCCCGAAGGCGCGAAGGGGATGGTTGAAACCATGGTTTGGTATTTACCGGGGGAATCGAATCATTTCAGGGTTTCTGAGGTGCGAAATGGATTTCGGAACCATCCAAAGTGGGAGGGGGATGTAAATGGGTATTTCAGTCAAAGGTGGACACCCAAAATGGTGGCTTTCAGTTGCAACAACCTGAAAAGGACACACATGGGTATGAGTTTCACACTGTATTGGTCCAAACCAACATTGGAAAATAAACATGGGAAAGCTGGGGCTACCCAGTGAGACAATTCTGTGGAAGCTCCCAAAAGCCCGGTGGAACTGGGACTAGGTCTTCCAAAAGTCGCCGCATGATTTCCTTGAGGGAAAATCAAAGAACGTGAGGTACTTGGGCGGATACAAAATTGGGATGGATGCAACCTGCATAAATCCATAGGGATAAAGCAGCAATCCCAGCGTACTTGGCAACCAAAAGGTGCAGAGTTCTGCCCTGATCGACTTGTGGTTTTCCCAGACCAGTGGAGTTACATGGGGATAAAAGGACCCTCTCGTTTCTTGATAGCTGATGGCAAAGGGAAGGGAAATCCTCAAGAACAACTTGAACAAGGAAACAACCTTCTTCTGGATGTTTCGGTAGGTATTGATGACTCACTAGAAGCCCTGAGTTGCCTGGGCTGGTATTAGCTGACTGCTCCACCGCTTGCCCACCTTGAGGGGAAGGGGTCGCGGGGGAAGCCCATTTCCAGTATTCCCTAAACGGGAAAATGGAACTATCAAACCGCCTCTTCAAAGGCGTCGCGGCTTAATGTGGTTGGTTCGCCTGCAACATTCAGCGAATCCTCGGAATCTTAATTGGCCAGTTCAGATTGCTGGCGTGCGGCGTGCAATGACGACCCCTTGTAGCGGGATAAAGGAATCATGAAGGACAACTTCAACTCACTACTGGGGAAAGTATGAATCATCATAAGCACAAATTCACGGAACATCCCAGTAAAGGCTCGCTAAACATGACCGACTCCCCAATAAGAAGACTTGTAAGTCATCATCTAAATCTGGCCGGAGGGTCGTGTGCGGATATACCCAAGCAAAAGTGTCAACAGGGCCACGTTAACTGGCTGCAACTGCAACCCACTTTCGACCCAGTCTTTGACGGCTCGACGAAGTCCGTGTGAACGCATCAAACTCGGTTTCCGCTTGAAGTCTGGGCTACTGGCAGAAGAGGGTTGCTCAAACGCCGACCTGGCTGTTCAATAAGGGCGTCTGGAAAAGTTAAACAAGTATTCGTCTCCCCAGCAGTGCTGAACCGGAGGTCTGAAAAAAAAAGCGTAGAAACTGGTCATTCCAACTCCGGTCAAATCCCCTTAGAACCCAGCAACAAATTCCCCCTAGAACTGGCCTCGTTAATTTCCCATGATCAAAGTCACCCGCTGCGTGGTGGGTTAAAGGGACACCAACCCATTTTCTGACTTTGAGCACGCCCGAGAAACAGTCAAAATAATGATGAACAACACAAATCTGGACGACTAAATCCCCCAACGATTAGCTGATGTCGGTTTTTGCCCCAGCCTTCTGGAGTTTGCCGCAGGCCTCGAGGATGGCGCTGACCTGAGAATCCCGCGAGTCTCTTTTGACGGATGACGCGTGGTGGTCCGGAAGGGGATCATCGGAATGGGGTTGCGGGAGATGGGAAGCCCTACTGGACGACATCCTGCACCTTCTCAGAGATGATTCCCCTGCAAATACCGACAAACAATGGCTTTCCGTAGTTTCCCAGTGGTGCGAACGGATGTTGTCCCTCAGTAGTGCACCCTTTCCGACCAATGGGTCACCCAAATGAATCTCCGAATGTGAAACTTGAGGCTCGACCCGCCCGAGGATGGCTCTTTGAAGGGTAAGAACGCAGTGCTTGGGTGGAAGGCCCCAGGTCCTTTCTGTGTTTCCCTTAAGCCATGGGGGCTGGCGGGGATGGAGGGGAGGGAGCCCAAAATCCCTCCCCTCCCTCCCCCCTCCTCCCCCTCCCTCCCCTCCCTCCCCCTCCCTCCCTCCCTCCCCTCCCTCCCTCCCTCCCTCCCTCCCTCCCCTCCCTCCCTCCCTCCCTCCTCCCCTCCCTCCCTCCCTCCCCTCCCTCCCCTCCCTCCCCTCCCTCCCCTCCCTCCCTCCCTCTCCCTCCTCCCTCCCTCCCCTCCCTCCCTCCCTCCCTCCCTCCCTCCCTCCCTCCCTCCCCTCCCCTCCCTCCCCTCCCTCCCTCCCTCCCCTCCCTCCCCTCCCTCCCCTCCCTCCCCCCTCCCCTCCCTCCCCTCCCCCTCCCTCCCCTCCCTCCCCTCCCTCCCTCCCTCCCCTCCTCCCTCCCTCCTCCCTCCCTCCCTCCCCTCCCTCCCCTCCCTCCCTCCTCCCTCCCTCCCTCCCTCCCCTCCCCTCCCTCCCCTCCCTCCCCTCCCTCCCCTCCCTCCCTCCCTCCCTCCCTCCCTCCCCTCCCTCCCTCCCTCCCCTCCCTCCCCTCCCTCCCTCCCCTCCCTCCCTCCCTCCCCTCCCTCCCCTCCCTCCCCTCCCTCCTCCCTCCCTCTCCCTCCCTCCCTCCCTCCCCTCCCTCCCTCCCTCCCCTCCTCCCCTCCCTCCTCCCTCCCTCCCCTCCCTCCCCTCCCTCCCCTCCTCCCCTCCCTCCCCTCCCTCGCCTCCCTTCCCCCCAGCCCCCATGATTAAGCATCTGCCCCGATGCCCTGAGCTGCTTGATGCATGATTGGCATGGTGCTTCTGCCTAGTCAAGCTGCGTTCCAGCAACACCTTTAGCACGCGCTGAACATCAGCACCCTGTTTGTTCTCGGCAGGCAAGTCCTGATTGGAGTAAGGCATAGTGAGAAGAGTAAGCATTGTGTACTGCAGGGTCAAGCGTGTTTATACCTATACACACTAAAAGTTTGCCCTACGTCTGTACCTTTCAGTCACCAATAACATGCAAGCTCTTTCTCAGCTCTCTGCCAAGAGTCGAATAATCATACGGCTTCGTATACTCGAACTGCAGTTTTCTTAAGCTTGACGCCGTGACTAAGTAGGCCTGACTTAGACCCCACGCGAAAAAAGAAAGACTTGACAACTCGTTGCCGCTAGAAATGGAGCATGAAGGAAAATGGCGGCTCCTTCTCGTTGACACCATCCCTGAAAAGGGTACCAACTCAAAAAAGGACCCACCCAGATATGTTTAAACAAGAATGAGCTAAGTCTGGCAATGGCGGTGATTTCGAGCATAGCCCATCGGTCTTGGACAAGCTCCTGCTCCCAAGAAACTGGTCCCATTGTTTTTCTACTATCCAAGTCACCCTCCAAGTGATAGGTTGAAAGGGAAACACCCCCAGTTTCTGAGTTTAATGAGTGAAAACAAGTCACCAATTTGATATCAGTGGAGTAGACAACCAACTCAGCAAACTGAAGCTGAGCATGGGGTGCACTCAGGAACCCAGTTGCCCAGCTAGAACCGACCAAACAGAAAGGCAAATGGATGCCCACTAAACAATGAGGAAAGTCACAAACTCAAGAAATGGAAGGAGGGCTTCCTGTAGGAGTCACTTGGTTGCTAATTGTTTAGCCTAAAGATCCAGGTGTCCGTCAAGGGGTACCTGCGGAACGATTGCAACATGTTGAACATGCTGCAACAATGTCCGTTGGGACATCTCTCTGAACTTCTTTGTATCAGCAAAAAAATGCTCGGTCCACCTGGTTGAGCATCTTGAAACAGCTGTTCAAAACAACAACTCGTTGGTTCTCACCTCTTCAAACAACAAAACATGTTGGTTGCTCTTTCTGGGCCACAAAGTCTCCTTCGAACATCCAAGACATTTCGTCGGGCGGCCACCGTCTCTGATGTGAGGCTGCCAAAGGTTCCCGTGACGCCTCCCGGGCTGAAATCCCCCCAAGCCGAGGTGCCAAAGTTTGTTTCGAAGGGAACACGGCAGCTTGAGTCATAATTACCAATGTGCTGATGTTTTGTTTGAGTTGTAGTGCTGCCCACTAAGGTCATTCATTGCAGAAAAGCCTGGCTGAAACACTGAGGGTTCCATGAAATCTTGGAGAGCCCACCACACCACATGAGAACAAAAGCAAAACACTTTTGAAGCTAAGTTCTTGTACTATACTCATCAACGGTCAACACATGCACCGCAGAAATTTGTAAAATTCAAACGATTCCTCTACATGTTGTTTGCAGCTTGCTAGGCTCGTGGCGTTTGATATAAGTGGTGTGAACCAGCGGTTTGCACATAAATCCCCGGTTCCCTCCATAGGGCCAGGTGTTTGTTTGCATACGGCCATGGGTCAGAATCTAAATCGTACCCCCAGTGAACATCCCAATCCCAACTAAAATTGGTCCTAAAATGGGTGGTGAATTCACGCACCCCAAAGTGGGATCCCAAAACGGTTTTGACAACCACAGCCAGCCGGATGAATCCGAAGTTAGCGTGAGAGAGGTTTGGATCCTCACATTACACACCTGAACATTGCCTTGTAAATGGCGGTTTTCCTCTATTTTGGTGGAAAAGCCATGTCTCAAATGGGCAAAACGTATCTTTTAAGGAGCCCTGGAGAGGTTTGGACGTTCAAAAGACCCAACTTCATTCCGGATGGCAACGGTCTGAGAGGTCAGGCTGCTGAAAGTTCCAGTCACGCCAAATCTGGGGTACAGCCGCGCAAAATGTTCAGAGTCCGGTTGGTAACCAGTCTGCTCGGAGAAAAGCAAAACACAACAAACAAAAACAGCACGGTTTTGGAGGAGAAGTCGGACTTCCCCAAAGGCTACATCCAGGATGCACAAAAACTACTTCGCTTCGAGCAATCCCCACCCTCCATCACGAGCTTACGACCGTGAACACGGTTGTGTGAATTCAAGCACGGTTTTCGAGTGGCTTGAGAGCTTTATCCACCTGTCTGTGTGTCAAACTCCACTTGTCTGCGAGCCGATCTCGAGAACTCAAACATCGGTTCCGTTAACAAAAGCCAAGCCCCTTCCAAAAAGAAACCCGACGGGGGATTAAACGAAGTTGCTTATTCACAACCCAAAGCAACACAAAAGCATCACCCTTTCTGAGCCTCAGGGTACACTCAAAACACAAAGGCACCAACATGACATACAAACCCAACTTTGCTCCGGGCGGGCAGTAAGCAACACTAGACTGGCGAGCTGCTCTGACGGGATACTGGCGCGATCCACTGGCGAATACTGGCGAGCCGCTCCGGTTCGATACTGGCCGGATACTCGGCAGGATCCACCGGCAAGGGATACTCAGAGGGATACTCGGCGGGATCCACTGATGGCGGGATACTGGCGGGATCTGCTGGCGAGCCGCTTTGGTTCGGCAGGATTTACTGGCGAGCCGCTCTGGCGGGATATTGGGCGTGATCCACTGGCCAGCTGCTCTGGCGGGATACTGGGCGGGATCCACTGGCGAGCAGCTCTGGCGGGATACTGGGCGGGATCCACTGGCGAGCCGCTCTGGCAGGATACTCGGCGAAATCCATTGGCGAGCCGCTCTGGCGGGATACTCGGCGGGATCCACTGGCCAGCAGCTCTGGCGGGATACTGGGCGGGATCCACTGGCGAGCAGCTCTGGCGGGATACTGGGCTCCACTGGCGGGCTGCTCTGGCGGGATATTCGGCAGGATCCACTGGCGAGCTGCTGTGGCGGGATACTGGGTGGGGGCATCGCAAACGCGGATTCCAACATAAAATCTAACAACCCCTTCCTGTCGGGTGGGGAAAAACACAAACAAAATCAGCTCTGCAACCCAGGCCCCTCCCATGGCAAGGAGACCCGGGAGAAGCCAGTGGAACACAAAAAACTTTCAAATATACTGAGCTCTATGCAAATATCCCCTGCCATGCAAATATCCCCTCCATACACAACTGTTTTTTGGGACCAGCAGCCAGTGATGGATGTGTGCCCTCCTTGCAAACCTCACGTACGACCCATGAACAATATTGTTTGTTCTTCACCACACAAATGGGCTTGGGATTCCTTTTTGGTTATCCTTTATACACTAACCCTTGAAAGGGTACCGAGCTTCAAGAACACCCTTAATTTGGGAGTGTGTTTTTTTGGGGGGCCGAGAAACAATAAGACCTTTATATATATTAATATACACCTTGACTATCGTGTAAACCTGTTCTGGGCCGGGACGACTTTCACAAACTGGTTGTATAGTTAAAAGACTCCTTTACTTGGGGTTGGTAGGGATGGTCATCAACCAAAGAACCATAACCCCTCAGATTCGGCCCTTTTGACCATGGGCACATGTTGACTTTCGTTTCTGTTTGGAGCTTTGAGCAGCTAGGACTGCATTTTGTTAGGGCGGGCGACTTGTCCATTCACGGCTAAGACGAGCACATGATCTAGGTCCTTTATTTGGGGATATTCTGGTTTGGGAATGACAGCTACATTTGCAGATGGCTGATAGTCTGTTGTCGATTTGGCAACGACACGGGCAGGCCGCCAAATTCCCACAAAAGAACAGGGAGCCACCTCAATGTTTCCCTCTCCTTTTGGGAGCCAAACCGGGGGAAGTGCGCCATCTACTTTCACGCAACTGTAGTCTGGCCAGGGTCTCTTGAGCTTCCACTTAAAAGCAGGTTCCAGTGATGACCATGTCCATTTCAAAGCCACAAGAGAGACGAAAACAAGTCATCAATTCAGAACACGGGAAGAAGGACACTGCGCGAATCCCTAAGCCCGCCCCAAAAACCTCAAACCAACCTGGGCCCCAACCCCGGATGCCTAAACCGACCGGTGAACCCGGAGCTGACGGTCACTTGGTGTCATCCGTACCTCGCCAAGTGAAATCCTTGGTGCTCTTGGGCAGCTGAGTTTGGATCTTGTCCATGGTGAAGTCCCCCTTCGAGCGACAAGCCATTGCATTCATGTGATAGGCCCTCGTTCCCCAAAAGAAGCCAACCGGAGGTGGCATGAACAATAGTTGCTTCAAACATGTCTTAAACCAGGGGCGGGCAAGAAGCCTCCCCTTACCAGCAATCATGAAGTGGACAAGGGATCTTTGTACGAGGATGCCATCCACGTCCATGATTGCTGGAAAGCAGGTAAGTTGGAAAAACGAGGAGGCTCCTCGCCCGAGAGCAAGCTGCCAGGTTCTTATAAGCTTCTTTCTTCAAAGACCGTGCTCTTCAAAACAAAGGACAAAACGCTGAGTATCCCCAAGAGCCCCGAACCTACCCGGACTCTGCCCGGAACCCTCCAGGAACCTGCACCACCCAAACTCATGGGCTAAGACCAAGGCTTTGCGGGGCTGCTGAGTTTGTTCCCAGTGACCGAGGGAAAATCGAGAAACCCGCTTCTTGTAGCTGAGTCCTCCCTCCAACACACAAGAGAAATGGCACTGGGGACCTGCGAAATATGGGCCCCGACATCTGCCGTGTAGCTCATTCCCATCCGACCGTGACTTGTGGACCCCTCCGAATGCTTCTTCCAATACCTTCTGGGTAAAGCGAGCTTCCACTGCTTGCAACTGGGTTCTGCCCCGTAGCAGACGTGGCAGGTTTCATTTGACAAAGCTTTGAATCATTAGTTCTGCAGACTGGGTGTGAACTGTGGCTGGATAAAAAGCTGTTGACGGAATGGATTTGGTTGGTGTTGAAGGCTGAAGAGATCCTTGACATGGAGCCGGGGATTGGGCAATCCTGGTTTGGACAGATCTTCTCAAATAAGCCTTTGTTTATTCGGAAATTGGGGCATCTCATCTTGATTTCCAAGGGAAAACACAGAGGAGTTGCCGAAGCGTTGGATTCCAGCCAAAACTTGAGACATCAATTTGGGGGCAATCTCTAAAGACAACTGGCCAGTTCCCTCAGACACTGGCCAGTTCCCCGAGCCAAACATTAAAAGGGTCTCAACAAATGAGCCACATCCAAGACAAATCGGATCACTTGCAAGAGGACCTTCCCAGAAATAGTTGATTGCGTCTCCTTCTCAAGACAAGCTTTGGGATGTGTGTCAAAATATGGATTTGGACTCCCCAAAACGGGTTTCTTTCTGGTTTAAGATAAAATCACCTCCCCGCAATGGAGTTGTTGTTTGGTTAAACTTGAAAAAACATTGACCCGAAAATGGTACCAATGCAAACAAACCGTACACTTTTTAGCCGACACATGTCTCTAATCAAAAGCCAACCAGAGGAAACCAACCAAGCCCTTGGTTGGTATTTAAAAGGACACCAAAAGTAACCAAGCATTCCTATTTGGGTGTGAATCGGGAGCACTTTGGTGAACATCGTTTCGTGAGTTATGCCCACCAACCTCTTGGCAGGGATTTCCACCCATTCAAACTCATTATATACCCAAATCAACATGCCTGGCCTGGAAGCCATATGTATTTGGAGTCTCCACAGCCCAAATCTAAATGGGGTCAAAAGAAAGGGGTCAGAAGAGCAACCCAATTTTGGTGCAGGTCAGAAGTCAGAAGTCAGGAGGTTCCAGATGCCTCTTGCCCGTCCGAGGCGCTGCAATCTTCTTGAGCTCCATCGCGCAGGCCTGCAGCGCTTTGGTGTCCATGCCTTGCCCCACCTTGCCGAGCCGAAGATCCGGGCGGTTCCGGTTTCTCGCAAAACCCGTCGTTGCGTTGGGAGGGAGCTTGGTGTTGAAGGCGACTTAGGCGACTTATGCATCAGGCCAAAGGCTCTGGCGAAATGGCTCACGCAGGGTTTTGCTCAGTGCAAAAGAAACCACTGCCACCACCACAAAATCTTAGACTCATCCTGCCCAAATTGGCTCACAGACACACGATAACACCAAGCGCGCGCAAATACCGGACACTGCAAACGTGACCCGCGTACCGTGGGTCCACTACATTGAACCAGCAAGGTACCGCCAAGAAAACGAGTAACGCGTATGAAGCACAACAAACCCGGCAATACTGCAAAAGTTGCCTATGCCTTTTACCCGCGGTTGGACCCCTTGACCAAGTGGCACCCATGTTAGGGAAACATCCACAGATAATAGCAATTGCATGAACATCTGCCGACAGTTGCAGCTCCAAAGCTACCCCAAACCATTTGACTTTGTCGATGTGCCTGTCTTAGACCCTGTAAGTGTGACGCTTGGGGCCTCCAAACAGGTCTTTTTGGCACCCCTAAAACAACTCGGGGTGTGGTATGGGAAACCCGGGTTCGCTTCAGGACCCTAGGCTATAATATCATATGTATATAACACTACTTGAGTCGCAATCAAAACCTGGTACTAAAACGGTCGTAATCCCAGACCCACGTACAGGATTAAGAAGGCGGATATCCGCAGCTATTTCTGGCTGGGATCGTCCCTTACTAACCTTCATCTAGCCGGGTTTTGATTGTGGCTCACTTCATGTTTGGCTCCGTCCTTAGGATGCCTCTACTCCTCACCCTCACCGTTATCAACCGTTGCATAGCCATGGTCACATCCCATTTCTGTCGGACATTCTAACGGAAACCATCGATTGAGAGCCATGCCGTGTGAAATAACATCGTGTCAAATTTCCTCGACCCGCCAACGGATCAAATCTCAATATTTGTTGTGTCTCCAACTAACAATGAGTTTCAGAAGATGTCATACCCTCGATGACCCTTGCTCACCCTCCCTCCCCCCAAACGGGGAAAGAAGGAATATTCATTCCAAGGAGGCCACAAGCCAGAGACTGGTAAGTCAGAATCAAACTTGGTATCTACATCCACGTAAGAAAACGAACAACCAGCGAGCGTCTTGCTTTCTGCTCCAAAGCAGAGGGACTGCTGACTGCTCCGAAGCGCCTTCACCTTCCAAGATGTTGAGTGTGTTGGCCAATGTTCGGGCCATTGTTTAAGGTAATTACAGGATAATCATCATTCTAGGGTTTCTCAGGTGGTGATGGATGTCGTCCATCCACAGTATTGCTTGATGTAGTGGCACACATGGACGTGTTGGCCGGGAATTTTCGGGGCCCGGGGCCCCAGAAGGTTCGTTCAAGGTTGGTTCCTTGGAAATCAGGTTACG